TAATAAACCCCCAAAGACTTAAAATAAAAAAATCGCTGCAAAAATTTAAATTTCAAGAAAAAAGCCTCAAATTCAATTTGTTAAAATGCTTACAGATTAATAATCAAAAGATTCTACCATTATTATTAAATGACCAATTACATGTCACTTTCCCCCCTTGGAATCAAATTGGAATTTTATTAGGGAAAGAGCGAATATAAAGATAGGAGACGAGAAATTGGAAGTGGCTGATTTTATGTATCTAGGAAGTTAAATAAGTCAGGACGGGAGGAGTAGTAGGGATATAAAGCAGTGGTTAGCGCAGGGTCGAGTTGCCTTCAATAAATAGAAGTCACTTTTATGCCCGCGAACGGTTAATTTAGAAATTCGAAAAAAATTGTTAAAGGTGTATGTTTGGAGCGAGGCGCTGTATGGGTGCGAAACATGGACGGAAAAGAAAAAGTTAGAAGCGTTCGAAATGTTGTGTTACTGGCGAATGATGAGAATTACCGTGGATAGAGAACTTTAGAAATGAAGAAGTATTAGAAAGAATAGGAGAACAGAGGACTCTATGGAAGTCAATAAGGAATAGGCGAGATAGGTTGATAGGACACCTTCTCGGGCATGAAGGTCTAGTCAGAGACATATTAGAGACAGAAACAGGAATTAGGCGGGGTAGAGGTAAGCCTAGATTAGATTACTGTTCGTAAATAATTAAGGTTGTTCTAGTTTTGGGAAATGCGAAGATTGGCTCAAGATAGGAAAGAATGGAGGTGCATGTGCAACCAGTCTTAGGACTGACGACCTTATGATGATGATTGTACGAAAGTTTTTCGACATATTTTTTAGACATTGTATAATTTCTTTGTTTTACTTTTAAAATAATTGTGAATAAAATCTCTGATACATTTTTTATACTTCTCAACAATATTTGTATATACGTAATTACCTACCACTACCTGAAATAATCTTTTGAGATAATATAAACCTTTATTTTATTTCTACTGTATTGTATTTTCATAAAATATTTACATACCTGTAAGGTGTTTCCCCTTCTGAGTGTAATCTGACGTGTTTATTCAAGTTACTGGGGTCACCAAATGGCCTTAAGCAATATTTACATTTTAATGGTTTATATCCAGTATGCGTTCGTATATGGATTTTCAGTCCATATTTCCTTGAATAGCATTTTCCGCAATAAATGCATACATGTCCATCTTTGGATTTCCCCAGACTGCTTACGATAGTTTCTATATGGGCTTCATCGTGACAGTGTTGCCCCGTGGTCTCTCCATAACGCGAAAATCTCTCAAATGTTGATGAAAAATCCGGAATATAAGAGGAAGCTAATAAATTGCCTGGTTCTAGTTTTTGAAATGGTTTGAAAGCTGAAATACCATTTGCCGATGGTTCTGAGAAGGGCCTGTACAAAGATCTACAATTTTCAATTACGGTATTGTTTTCAAATTTGGATGGTTGAGAATTGGGTCTTTCTTCTTGGGCAAATGTGGATGTTGTTAAGTCTAAAGCACTATTTTGTTTTCGAAATTTCGAAGGCGCCAATTTGAAGCAGAACATTTGGGTCGATTTCCAGTCTTGTTCTTCTGATGGTTGGTTAATGGTAAGAGCGTTTGATAGTTTTTCCCATAGTGTCGAGATAGACTGTCGCCCGCATCCCAATGTTATGTGAATTTTCAAAGGATTGGGAGATTCGTAAAGAACTGAACAGTACATGCATACGTACTTCTTTTGGCCTAAAAATTAAACAAAGGTATTACCATTAGAAAATTGTTCGTTAATAGTTTTTGATGTAAAACTTTTTATTAGCCTGCGTTTCAACCAAGTTCTAAATCGCAATCCACATCTGATGTAGAAGCAAAAGGAGAAAAGTAAGACACTAGTCATTTTCATAGTATATTTTGTCACTGAATTAGAATCTGGCCTCAGCACATTTAAATTTTGAAGTATCATAATCATAACACATAAGTGATATCAATTTGGCTGAGTTTATTTTGAATTAATGAAAGAATTCTGAAAGCAGATGATGCTCGTATTTTCTTCAACCACCCACCATTGTAGGTACCCTCTACTTCGATATATTCTTCAATTTCCAGACCATCACTAAGGTGAGTCAAAATAACCATTGGTTTCTGAGCAGGTTACTAAACTGTCTATTTACGTCTATTGGCGTTTTGAGTGCCATTTTGCTCTCTTTATCAAATGGCTGCCTAAAACATCTAATTATCCTTGCGTTTTGTTAGTATTGATAAATCTCAGGGTGGCTGATCCGTAGCCAGTGAAAATCCATCTGAACGGCTGATTTCTCCTATTCGCGGTGTGTGAGATGGTTCTTGTGCTCCTTTAATTTAGTATAGATGTGTCGTTTGTTTTGCTCGATGTATACTTTGCTCCACGTGAAAGGGATGTTGTAAACTTCTGGTTCTGGTATTTTCCTGTATTGGCATTTAGGGAATGATGCTTCAATTTTTTTTGTAGTCTTGAAGATGTTGTTGATTATTGTCTTTATTGGTTTGATTTTGTCGGCGCATTATTGAACATAACACACACCGTCTCTATGAGTTCTTCTTTTTCCTTGGATTGTGAGTTTCTAACCGTCATTGAGAATTTGATGTTAAGATATTTCAAAATCTATATGTGTTACATGTTGGTGCAACTTGGGGCCAGAATCTAGTTCAGTTCTAACAATGATTAGTCGGAAATAACTACCCTCTTAATTATTTTACCATTTTATTGTACGTAGTAATGCTCACACAAAAAGGTTAAATATTCCGTTTTTTGGGATTATAGGTTGATATCTCGAAATACTGGATTATGGAATAATGTTGCATGCTTTTTTTTATGGTTCTAAAATCTACTACCCCTAGACCCCTGCCGCCGCGGCCTATATGCTTGTTGTAAAATCCTGCGGCTGTAGCTATTGCTGAATTCAAGTTTATATGCCGTTCTAACGATGTTGCAGGTTTATTATTGAAGTGAAACTTCTGTACGCGCGGTAGAGTAAGTTCGTTTCATGCGAGTTGCTGTTTAACGAAATCATGCAACGGATGTCCCCCCTCTACTCGGCCACGTAGTCGAGTTCGTAGTGGGGATCGCTTGAGCCGTGAGCGCGCTTCAATGCAACGTTCGTTACAGGCAACTCCGGCAGGTATAGTGTAAAATTTAAATTCATAGTGTACAAATAGTACCATTAAAACAATTCCTTAACCCCTATCCCG